GGGGGGAAAGGTGAGAAAGGATAATTGGGGTGGAGGGGAGATAGTAAAAATAGTGATGGTGGAATCGACAACAAGGAGGATGAGACAGGTCGGAGGGCACGAGATGATGAAAAAAGAATTATGAAGGAGGTGCCGACGGGGGGGATCGGGACACAGCATCAGTGCGGCGAAAAAAGGGAAATTAATGGCAAACATCAAATATCATGATCATGGGGTGCAATTTCTCCTTAAGTCGACGAACGGGTCATGGGAAGGTACAACAGGGGTTGTACGGGGCCAAGGGCAATGGATCCCGGGGACGGAAGGTTGAGGGGGGAAAAAGATTTTTTCGTCGCCTGGCATGCCATGAGCCATGCTCTTTCCGGCGCCCGAAAACACAAATGGCGGGAACACGCAAGCGTAAACGAGTGTTACATAGGTGTATGTCATGCATGAAGACGTACCATGTCTCCGCCGCCGGCACCGGCACTGGGCCCATGGCCATTGATAGCGGCAGCGGGCATGATATGCGACGCGACGACTCTTCTTTTAAAGCGGTCTTGTGGATGATGCAAATTGACAGGATCGGCGCTCCCCGTGCACCAAACCTCTCCAATGCGGTTCTAATTTGATTTGGGAACGAAATTGTGCACATAAGAAAGGAGAAGCGTGAGTAGGGAAGCAATGAAAAAGGAAGTCGAAGGTATCTTGCAGGAGGGAATGCCCTTCATGGTCCTAGCTCTTCTTCTCTCAAGATTCTGCAACACACATCAACCCACGCCGTCCATGACAACACCAGCCACGCCGTGCATGGAACACACTCAGATCCCACATGATGCGGCCCTTTTTCCAGACGTGGCGCCCCGGTTCATGGAGCCACCAAGGCAGGGAGTGCGTGGTGTGTGGGCCATTGCAAAGCATGCGGCCCATCGCGTCGGTTGCTGCCTAGGCACCATCGTCCCTCCCTCCCCAGGCTCTGTCTCCCCTTTTGTCCCCTGCACCCAAAGCCTGCGCGTTGGCAACGGCACGATATGCTATGCGCATCACGTTGGGCATCTTGGGGAAAGGGATCAAGGCCTGGTCCTGACTATGTTGCCCGGACGGCAGCAATGAAGAATATCTTTCGCTGGCGGGCCCACGAACCGGCAGGGACGCTAGGGGGAAGGCGAGGCAATCGTGTACCCGAAAGTTTGCAATAAAGATGAGCGAAGGGAGCCCAGCGCCGTTGCCTTTGTTGATATGTCGCCGGGCACGACATGGGGAGGCATGGGGGGGCATGAGTTGTGCTATGTGTGCATCCATATGCGTTTGTGGATGGCGTCGGACGAGTCAGATTATATGCCTATGGCTCTTGATGACGGGAAGGTCATTAAAAAAAATTAATGGATCTTTGAAGATTTTTTTGGTCCCCAGGAGTAATGAGAAGCCTCCATCTGAAGTTTTGCATGATAAAACATCTTTGTTTTAGAGTTCTCAGTTAACTTCGTTTAGATAGCACAAAAAATGAAAAAAGCAAGAAGATGGCAAACACACGCAAGGAGGTGCCCGGGAGAGTTTTTCGTACGTTTACTGATTTTTTCCCCCTTCATTTATGCCTCGAGCTCTTTCCCTTCATCCTCATATTTGGCATTGATTACATGTGCATGCTGGTGAATATCACTCATAATCTCCACCACATCAAGCTTCTCCGGCTCGAACGTCTGTGAGCTTCCATCTAAATACCTGTCAAGATGTGTAAGGAAAAAAAAGGACAGAGGCGTCAAGAGTTCGCGACGCATTCAAATCTCACAATGACCACGTCCTTGGATTTAACCCACGATACATATTTGTCTTGGCTACATCTACTAGAGCACCACCAGGGCCTTCAGTCGACCTCCCACCTTCCCACC